GACCACTGAGTCTGCACAGGTGGTTGAGTCAGGCCAGGTGGCTGCGTCGAGTCGCGTGTCTGCGTCTGGTCAGCTTGCAGCGTCTTGCTCGTGTCGGGTACTCTCTCACCAAACTCACCTCTGGCACCACCGTCTCGGTCACCCCTCGCTGCCGCGTCTCCGCAGCATGCACTCCCGTCTCCTTGTCTCTGGGCTTCCCAGGTCCCTGCCCTCCCTCCCGCGCTCGCTTGCACCGCCGTGCCTTCCTTGCGTCAAGGGGCGGCAGCGCGCCGCTCCTCACTCCTCCGAGTTTCCTCTGACCACCGCTCCTCAGTAGACTCTCCACATGAACATGTGGGGCCCGGCCCCCGTCGGTGGAACGGACCAGGAGCGCTACTTCATGCTGGTTGTTGACGACTACACACGCTACACCACTGTCTTCCCCTTGCGGCGCAGGCGGACGTTATCGGTGTTTTGATCCCTTGGATCCGTGCTACTCGTCACCAGCTGCGCGAGCGGTTTCTTCGGGACTTGCCAGTCATGCGTCTGCACTCTGACAGAAGCGGTGAGTTCTCTTCCGGCCTCCTTGAGGAGTTTTGTCAAGCTGAGGGCATCCGTCAGACATTCACGCTTCCGGCCTCTCCTCAGCAGAATGGGATTGCTGAGCGTCGCATTGGCTTGATCATGGAGGCTGCTCGTACCTCCATGATCCATGCAGCTGCTCCCCATTTTCTGTGGCCGTTTGCGGTCCGATACGCTGCGCATCACCTCAACCTTTGGCCCCGTGTCTCTGAGCCAAAGACCTCGCCCACCCTTCGGTGAACGGGGAAGATTGGCGATGCATCGGTGTTTCGGGTCTGGGGCGCGCTCTCTCTTGTTCGCGATGCTAACGCGAGCAAGCTCTCCCCTCGCACTCTCCGCTGCGTCTTCCTATGGCTTCCCCGCCGACGCCCCGCCGTGGCAGTTCTACCACCCACGTTTTACCACCCACGTGCGCGTCGAGTCTTCTCCTCCCAAGACGTCACCTTTGACGAGTCTGCCTGTTTCTACAGGCTACACCCGCACGCGTCCCACCCGGTCCCCCTCGCGCCTCTCTTCCTGGTGCTAGTCCCCCCCCGGTAGACCCCCTCCCCCTACAGAGTCCTGCTCCCTCACGTGTGTCTCAAGTAGACCCACCCCCCTTGGTTGAGCGTGTGGAGATCTCTTCTGAATCCTTTGGCCCAGCTGAGGGGGGTGAATTAGTCGCTGACAACACGGTGGCCACTCGCCGCTCACCACGCTTGGCAACTGTTGAATTATATTGCATATCCTAACTGCCTACAGCTTGCTAGTGTATTAGTTAGTTATTAGGTTCAACTGCTGGTGGTGTACCCTATCCTCTCCCCTATCCTATATCTTGTAAACATTCCTTAGTGAATGCCCTCTTTGCCCAATTCTCTTGCCATGCTCACCCTCGACACTCACGCTTCCTAGGTAAACCCTAAGTTACTAAGTCAAGAGTTAAGAGCGTGTTCTGACAGCAACCCCCCCTGGTTTTCCGCCTCATCTGACGTCGCCGCCTCCGCAGCCTGCTGCTGTGGACTCCGGAGCTGAGACTGCTGGTGCTGAGCCTGGGGGTGCTGAGACAAAGGGTGAGGGTATTGGGGGTGCTACGTCTGGGGGTGCTGCGTCTGGGGGTGCTGGTTCTGGGGGTGCTGCTACTAGGGGTGGTGACTCTGGGGGTGCTGCGAGTACTAGTGGCGGAGGTGCTGGAGGTGCTACTGGAGCTGCTGGCGCTGGAGGTGCTGGAGATACTGGTGCTGATGGAGGCGCTGGAGCTGGAGGTACTGGAGGTGCTGGAGCTGCTGGTCCTCGAGGTGCTAGTACTAGAGGTGCTGGAGGTGCTGGTCCTGGAGGTGCTAGTACTGGAGGTGTTGGAGCTGCTGGTCCCGGAGGTGCTCGTACTGGAGGTGCTGGAGCTGTTGGTTCTGGAGGTGCTCATACTCGAGGTGCTGGAGCTGCCAGGGCAGGTGGTGTTGGAGGTGCTGGAGGAGCTACCGGAGCTGCTGGCACTGGAGGTGCTGGAGGTACTGCTGGTGCTGGAGGCGCTGAAGTTGGAGGTATCGGAGGTACTGGAGGTGCTGGAGCTGCTGGAGCAGGTGGTGCTCCTGGTGCTGGAGGTGCTGGAGGTGCCAGGTGCTACTGGAGCCGCTGACACTGGAGGTGCTGGAGGTACTGCTGGTGCTAGAGGTGCTGGCGCTGCCGTGAGCATGAGACTCGTGCTTCCACACCTGTTTGTGCTTGTTGTGTCCCCCGTCCTCGTCCTCCTACTGTCCCAGGCACTCATGGTATGGCACTTCGTCCTTCCTCTGTTCCACAGCGTGTTGTCCTACCTGAGCCTCCCGCGTCCTCTCTTCCGCACGTTCCGGACCCTGAGTCTGACCTTGCTCGTGCTACCAGTCCTACTGTCACCCGTCTCCTCGCTACTGTCGTCACTCACCCTAACTTTGAGTCTACTGGTGCGTTTGCCCTGGTCACTGAGCAGCTAGTCGACTTTGCAGCTAGGAATCGTCTCGACTACGTCGCGAGTCTTGTTACTGAGTCTGAGTCTGTCTATCCTCCGTCCTTCGGTGGTGAGCCTGCCCTTGGCTGTGACGCCCTTGAGGACAGGCAGTCTGAGCTTGAGTGTCTTGCGGTCGCTTTACCTCGTTTCACGTCCATGCTGCTTTGCCCTGAGGGAGACCCGGATGCACTTGACATCCCCACCCCGCGCTCTTACAGAGAGGCGATTTTGGGTGAGTAAACCTGTTAGTGACAGGCAGCCATGGACGCAAAGATGGCTTCCTGGAAGTCCGCAGGCACCTACGTTGACGAGGTCCCCCCACCTGGGGCGAACATCGTCAGTGGCATGTGGATTTTCAGGGTGAAGCGGCCGCCGGGTTCTCCGCCTGCCTTCAAGGCGCGTTACGTTGCTTGAGGTTTCAGTCAGCGACAGAAGGTCGACTTCTTCCACACCTTCTCCCCCACCCCAAAGATGACTACTCTTCAGGTGTTACTGCATGTTGCAGCACAACGTGACTACGAGCTGCACTCCCTCGACTTCTCGACAGCTTTCTTGCAGAGTAGTCTGCGTGAGGCCATATGGCTGCACCGTCTAGAGGGCTTCACTGAGTCGTTTCCTGCAGGTACCCAGTGGAGCCTACGGCGACCAGTCTATGGTCTTCGTCAGGCGCCCGGCGAGTGGCACGACACACTGAGGACAATTCTTGAAGCTCTTGGTTTTTCTCCTTCCTCTGCTGACCCATCGCTGTTTCTACGCACCGACACTACCCTGCCGCCATTCTATGTTCTCGTGTACGTCTCCGACTTGGTCTTTGCTACTGCGGACACTGAGGCACTGGCCCTAGTGAAGGCGGAGCTGTAGGAGAGACACACCTGCACTGACCTGGGTGAGCTGCGGAGCTATCTTAGCTTGCTGCGGGGACAGAGGACGGCGCACCATCACCCTTACTCAGTCACACATGGTGCACCAGGTCCTCCAGCGCTTCGGCTTCCAGTTCTCCTCGCCACAGCCCACTCCTCTGTCTACCGGCCACTTGCTCTCAGCTCCACCTTTGGACGAGTCCGTAGAGCCGAGTGGTCCGTACCTAGAGCTTGTGGGTTGCCTCATGTACCTGATGACATTCACACGACCTGACCTCGCGTACCCTCTCAGCCTCCTGGATCGCTACGTGGCTCCCAGTAGACACTGAAAGGTGAACTAGGATGCTGCGAAGAGGGTATTGCGTTACTTGTGCAGTACATCGGAGGCTCGTGCTTGGAGGACAGGGTTCAGTAGTACTCACAGGACACTCCGATGCTTCTTGGGCCGACGACCAGGCGACTCAGCCTTCGTCCCAGGGTTACACCTTCAGTCTTGGCGCTGGTTCTGTCTCGTGGAGGTCCACTCGTTCTTCTTCTGTGCTTGGTTCCAGCTGTGAGGCTGAGATCTACGCAGGGGCCATGACTGCACAGGAGCTACGCTGGCTGACCTATCTGCTGACCAACTTGGGGGAGCGGCCTCGTTCTCCTCTAGTTCTGTACGTCGACAACAAGGCAATGCTTGCCTTGTGTCGCGAGCAGAGACTGGAGCACATAACGAAACACATTGCTCTTCGCTACTTCCTTGCGCGTGAGCTGCAGCAGCGTGGTTAGCTGCACCTTGTTTACGTGGCCTCTCGGGCCAACACTGCTAATGTCTTCACCAAGGCCCTTGGGTCTGGTGATCATCAGCGTTTCTGTACTGCTCTTGGGCTTGTGCTCACTCAGCCTCACCTGCTGGTTGCTTGACTTGCTCTTGTTGTACACCGATATATATCTTTATACCTGCTTGTTTACTCTTGCTAGGTTGTGATCAGTGTACTGCCTTGCTATTATATATCTGCATGTGAACTGGCCTTGTGGCCACCTGCTTGTGCTCAGATTGTGTGGTGTCCTTGAGATCCACCCTGGGCTTTGCCTTGTTTGTTCTCTTGCTAGACTGGTCTTGTGACCACTGTTAGGTTTGGCTATCCCCTACTTCACCTATGGGGGTGTGTCAAAACATATCTCTATTCATTTCTCTCTAGGTTGTGTAGGGGTCGTTCCTTAGAGGGTACAACCCATTTCTCTCGTTAGTCTTGTACCCTTCCCTCTTACCTAATCGACACCCATTCTCACCTACCTCCTAGTTCAAACATTTATTTATGCAGTGATTGGTACACGAAAGACAGTCAATAAAGGGCAAAATGTGGAACGTGCAAATACAGCTCTGTACATCTACATGCCTCCTTGCACCTACCCTTGACTCCAATGTGTGGAGGAGGTCCCCTAGCTGCAGGGGCAAGAGGTCTGCAATGAGGACCACGGGGTACTACTGTAGTCCCATCCGCAATGAGGACCACGTGGTACTACTGTAGCCCCATCCGCAATGAGGACCACATGGTACTACTGGTTGGGGATGTGTATGAGTACGGATCCGCCGTGCTCTCTTGTTACCACGCCTAAACAGCCAAGGTGCAAAACTAATCACCACCACCCCTGTTGATGTAGAAGAAAGCACCACTCGCCGCACCGTTCTCAAACGTCTTGGCAGATGGAGGCACAGAGAAGCAGGTGGAGGCACAGAGAAGCAGGTGGAGGCACAAAGAAGCAGGTGGGGGCACAGAGAAGCAGGTGGGGGCACAAAGAAGCAGGTGGAGGCACAGAGAAGCAGGTGGGGGCACAGAGAAGCAGGTGGGGGCACAGAGAAGCAGGTGGGGGCACAGAGAAGCAGGTGGAGGCACAAAGAAGTAGGTGGGGGCACAGAGAAGCAGGTGGGGGCACAGAGAAGCAGGTGGGGGCACAGAGGAGCAGGTGGGGGCACAGAGGAGCAGGTGGGCGCACAGAGGAGCAGGTGGGCGCATCACTGACAGTTGGCTTACAGGAAGAGAGCGAGGCAGATTCGACCGGTGGCGTTGGCGTCGCCGGTGGTCCCAACCACTTGGGATCCGTTCAGCCGCGCGGTGTGAATGGCTGCATGGAGATGAGAGGAGCGGGCAGGGAGGGGCAGGAAGGGGCAGGGAGGGGGCGGGAGATACCGAGGGTAGTGAATAGGGGGTATCTATCAAGGCGTGGAGACACGAGATGGGCGAGAAGGTAAGAAGCGAGGAATGAAGGGCAACAGTCCATGTGGTGAAATGAGGAGTGCTTATCTCATCGTTGTGTGTAAGGACACATGCGACACTGCCCGCCAAGTGCGGGGGGTTCACCCGTCAGGTTCCCCAAGTCGCTCAGAAGGTTCCGTAATAACTATCCGGCTTTGCTATAATCACATCCACCAGCTCCTTCAGTGGGGCTTTATCGAGTTTGCTGGGAAGTGTGACGTGACCATTAATTGACTATCTACCGCACCAGCTTTGTCTTTTGATGCTTGATGATAATTTGTGCTATCGTTCAAGGTCGATGTGGTCGATATGCTATCATACAAGGCTTTGATGACCAATTGGCTAGGGAAAGAGTAAACTTAGTCCGCGCCCAATGGGCTTTCAAGCGAGTCCGTTTCTGACTTTAATGGCCAATTGGCTGGGGAAAGAGTCGCCATAGCTGGCTTTAATTGCCAATTTGCCCGACCCTTCACCACCTCCCTTGGTGACACTTGCGAAAGCGCCGCTCGCCGCACCGGCCTCGAACGTCTTGGTGTAGATGAGAGCAGAATAGGCATCAGGAGCAGCTAGCATGGCATCCATAAGCTCTTTATACGTCTGCCCGTTATCCGCTATGTAACCACTGGCGCTTAGCCAAGCGCCGACACTTTCGTAGCTGTATCCGAGGGGAGGGGGAGGTGGCTGTTTGCCCAACTTGGCGCGTTTGAACTCGGAGAGCGTGCGATTGGTCCACGTGGCGCTGCTGGTGTCCATGGTGAGTGACACGTCAGCGCCTTTCTTGATCACAAAGTTGGTGGGCTCGCCAGAGTCGGTTAGAGCCACGCTGACGTGGCACTTAATGTTGTAGTCGCTGGTTGTGGGGCTTCTAATGGGGGGGGGGGGAGTGGGTGGCAGGGAGGGGCAGGGTAGGGCAGGGAAGGGCGGGTGTTTGGTGATGGGACAGGCATGTAAGGAGGCCAAAAGGTAAAAAGATGCAATTGGAAAGAGATAACGCAAAAAAATGTGAGTAGGAGTGAGGGGAGGTTGAGAAAAATGGAGGGTAGAATTGAGTTGAACGAAGATTGGGGGGGAGGAACGGAATGATGGGTCAGCTTATGGGAAGATGGCAAGGTGAGGTTGCGAGAGAGACGCGCGATCTGAGGGTAAAGGTGAGGAAAATGAGAAGAGCGAGAAGAGGAAGCTTACCGGAAGACGGCGAAAGAAATGCAGCCTGTGGCGTTGACGTCAGCAGTGAGGTTAGCATTGGAGCCGTTGAGACGTGCTTCCACCGCACCTGGACAAAATAATCACGGAGAGGAAAAGATCGACCGTTAGGAAACGTAAGCAAATGTGTAAGGGAAGGACTGTTTGAAGAGGAACTAAGGGAGGGGGCACGGCGCGTGGTTGATTCTGAAGGTGAGCAAGGCAAGAGATGGCAGAGGCAAGAGAGTCGGAGAAGGCTAGTAGCGGGGAGCACATCTTACCAACAAGGGTTCTGAACCGATCGTCTCGATTCTCCTCTCCAGTGCCCTCGTTCTTCCCTCCATTCTTCCCGCCCTTCTTATCCTTTGGCGGCGGCGGAAGCGGCTCCTTTTTAAATTGCCCCCTAGCCGCCGCTGACTCATAAGCAGCCGTCGCGAATGATGCGTAGTACCCATCTGGAATCTCAATAATCGTCTCCACGAGCTCCCTCAGTGCTTGCTCCCCGATCGTGGCCACCGTACTCGCTTTAAGCCACGTCCCATTTGTAGCATAAGTGTACTTCGGAGGAGGCGGGGCGGGCGGAGTGCCCTTGTTCTTTTTGCCCTTGGGCGGGGGAGGTGGCAGACGACTAAGATTCGCCCACCTGGCGGTTTGTCCTTCCTCGATAATATTATATACAGTGGTCCCCGCGTCTCTCGCTGCGCCTCGCCAGATAGAAACACTGGACGGCTCGCCAGGGTCGGAGGTGGAGACGGCGACGCTATAGAAGATGTTGTAGTCGTGGTCTTGCCCAGCGGTTTACGCCAGGGTTCAAACAAGCAACGAGCAGAAGGGAGGAATGGAGAACGAAAGATGATGATGAGGAGGATCATGTAAAACAAGTAGGGTACGATACTGAAATGTTTGATTTGAAGTCGGGAACAAGGTGAAGTCAATTGAGTTGAGCTTGGGTGAACTGGCTGCAAAGCAACGGTTGAGGCAGCTCAGCTGGAAGGCGAAAGGCGGCACAGAGGGCCAAGTGGGCGCATCATAGGCGGCACAGAGGGCCAAGTGGGGACACAGATGAGCAAGTGGGCACACCACAGGCGGTTGGCTTACAGGAAGAGAGCGAGGCAGATTCGACCGGTGGCGTTGGCATTGCCGGTGGCCCCAACCACTTGGGATCCGTTCAGCCTCGCGGCGAGAATGGCTGCATGGAGACGCCAAGGGGGGTGAATGGGGGGACTCAAGATGTGGAGACAGGAGATTGGAGAGAAGGGAAAACGAGGAGTGGAGGGGAGGGCAACAGACTTCAATTGTAGAATGTGTACTTATCTCATCGATGCGTGTAAGGTCATGCCACACTGCGCGCCTAGCGTCGGGAAATTTTCTTCCAACCCTTCAGATTTTTCAAGCCGTTCGCACCCGTCAGATTCCCGAGAGCCTCGGCCTCATTCGGCTTGGGCAGCGGGCACGGGCCTGCGTCCGGAGGTCCCCCTTGTGAGAATAGTAGACAGAGTTAGGAGCCATGGCTAGGTAAGCCCTAGCTAGGCAGGAGAAAGTTAGGCAAAAGAGGGAGGGTTTTCACTAGGAGCAGTTGGGATACATATAGCAAACCCTAGCTGGGTTGTACCCGCTATAGAGCACCCCACTACAGGCTAGATAATAACATTCTGACACACCCCCATAGCCAAAGTGGGGTGTAATCAGCACAATGAGCAAGCAGGCATAGAGCAGGAGTTCACAATAGTAAGCAAAGCTAGACTTAATCACAGCGGGCAAGTGAGGAGGAGGAGGAACTGTGGAGGGAGAGAAGATGCGAGGCAACGACTGAAGCTGCAGAGGCACGGGCACAGGAGCAGCTGACTCAGTGGCTACCGAAGCAAGGGCGACGGACTACTGGAGTGACTGGCTCCGCGGCTATAGATGAGCGGCAGGAGCAACGGACCCACTGGCGACTGGTGCAACAGGCTCACTGGCGACAGCTACCTTCACACAACCTCCCCCAGCTGCCCCACGCCCCTCTCATACACCCCCTGCTGAACCTTAGCTCCACTCCCACAGCACCCCCCTTAAACCCTAAACCCTAGGCTCCCACACACCCACCCCCCTCAGCGGCAGCTGCAGCAGTGGGAGACGAGGGAGGAGGAGGAGCAATGGGAGTAACGCACAACCGACACCCCCACAACCGCCACCCCCACACTCCCCACCCCCAAACCCTAAAACGGGTGGGATAGGGGCAGGAGCGCGGGGGACGGCGAGGGGGGACGGCGCGCGACCCCCAGGGCGCAAAAACGGACGGGCGGGGGGGGGGGGGGGGGGGGGGGGGGGGGTGGCGCGCGCGGCTCCCCAGGGCGCCGCGATGGACGGGCGGGGGGCACGCGCGTGGCTCCCCAGGGCGCCGTGACGGACGGGCGGGGCGCACGCGGGCTCCCCAGGGCGTCGCGACGAGCAGGGCGGGGGCCGCGCGTGCTCCCCAGGGCGCCGCGACGAGCAGGGTGGGGGCCGCGCGTGCTCCCCAGGGCGCCGCGATGGACGGGCGGGGCGCGCGCGGGCTCCTCAGGGCGCCGCGACGAACAGGCGGGGCGCGCGCGGGCTCACCAGGGCGCCGCGACGAGCAGGGTGGGGGCCGCGCGTGCTCCCCAGGGCGCCGCGACGGACGGGCGGGGCGCGCGCGGGCTCCCCCACGGCAGGAAACCGCCGCGCGCCTCGGGGCGCACGGCGGGCAGAAAACCGCCGCGCGCCCCGAGCGCGCGGCGGGATGAAAAATCGAAGGTCGCGCGCTCCGGGGCGCGCGACACAGAGTAGGGCAGCGGAAGCAGGTGGGCCCACAGGCCAGGAGCGTGACTGCTCTGATAGCATGTGAGAATAGTAGACAGAGTTAGGAGCCATGGCTAGGTAAGCTAGGCAAGAGTAAGTTAGGCAAAAGAGGGAGGGTTTTCACTAGCAGCAGTTGGGATACATATAGCAAACCCTAGCTGGGTTGTACCCGCTATAGAGCACCCCAGTACAGGCTAGATAATAACATTCTGACACCCCTTTTCCGCCGTTCTTTTCCTGGCCCCGTGTCTCCTTGCCGGAGACCTTTCCGACACTGCGTTGGACGGGAGAGGTTGGTGATGTGTCAGTTTTCCAAGTCTGGGGATCTCGTGCCTTTGTTCGCGATACCTCCGCGGACAAGCTCTCCGCCCGCGCCGTTCCCTGTGTCTTCCTTGGTTTTCCCCCTGACGCGCCTGGCTGGCAGTTTTACCACCCTACCTCGCGCCGTGTTCTGTCCTCTCAGGACGTCACGTTTGACGAGTCGGTTCCCTTTTACCGTCTCTTCCCCTACCGCACTGCTCCTCCCCCTCCCTCACTGCTCTTCCTTGCTCCAAGTCCCCCTCCGGTAGACCCCCTCCCCCCTCAGGGTCCTGCTCCTTCAGATGTGTCTCAGGTAGACCCACTCCTCTTGGTTGAGCCTGTTGAGGTCACTGGTGACTCTGGTGCTGCTGGGGGTGCTGAGCCTACGGGTGCTGATCCTGAGTGTGAGGAGCCTAGGGGTGCTGAGCCTGTGCGCGAGGAGCCTGGGGGTGCTGAGCTTGCGGTTGCGGAGCCTGAGCGTGAGGAGCCTGGAGGTGCTGAGCCTGCGAGTGCGGAGCCCGAGGGTGCTGCATCTGAGCGTGCGGAGCCTGGGGGTGCTGAGCCTGAGCGTGTGGAGCCTGGGGGTGCTGAGTCTGGGGGTGCTGAGCCTAGGGGTCCTGCGTCTACACTACGGGAGCCTCTCTCACCATAGCAGTTACGCGAGTAGTACGCTCGGCGCTGTAGCCTTCGGTGTGGTGCTGCTGGAGCTGGAGGCCCTGGAACTACTGGTCCTGGAGGTGCTGGTGGTGCTGGCACTGCTGGTCCTGGGGTTGCTTGTGCTGGTGGCGCTGGAGCTGCCGGAGCTGGTGGTGCTGCTCGTGCTGGAGGTGCTAGAGGTAGTGGAGTTTCTGGAGCTGCTGGAGCTGGTGGTGGTGCTGCTGCTCGTGGTGCTAGAGTTGCTAGTCCCGGAGGTGCTCGTACTGGAGGTACTGGAGCTGCTGGAGCTGGTGGTGGTGCTGCTGCTGCAGGAGGTGCTGGAGCTGCTGGTCCCGGGGGTGCTCGTTTCGGAGGTAATGGAGCTGCTGGAGCAGGTAGTGGTGGTGCTGCTGCTGGAGGTGCTGGAGCTGCTGGTCCTAGGGGTGCTCGTACTGGAGGTACTGGAGCTGCCGGAGCTGGTGGTAGTGTTGGTACTAGTGGTGCTGGTGGAGATGGCACTGCTAGTCCTGGAGGTGCTCGTCCTGGATGTTCTAGAGGCGCTCTCTCGCCGCAGCAGCTACGCGAGTGGTACACTCAGCACTGCCGCCTTCAGAGTGGCGCTGCTGGGGCTGGAGGCGCTACTGCTGGAGGCGCGGGAGCTGGAGGTACTGGCGCGGCCGGAGCTGGTGGTGCTGCGGACTCTTGAGCTGGAGGCCCTGGAGCTGTAGGCGCTGGAGCTGGTAACCCGGGAGCTGGAGGTGCTGGAGCTGGAGTTTCTGGAGCTGGTGGAGACCCTGGAGCTGCTGGTATTAGTACTGGGGGTGCTGGTGCCGGAGGAGATGGTACCGGTGGTGCTGCACTGCCGCGTCTGTTCTTTGCTCCGCCGTCACCGTTGTCTCTGCCACCGCCTGGCTCGGTGCTTCGCCAGGTTCTTAGTCTCCCGTCTTCTACTGGTCTCCCATTATAGCCAGGCTTCCCACTGCCTGCTCCCTCTCCATACACTAAGCAGATCGGAGGTCTTACTGAGCGTCGTAAGCTTGCGTCTCATCCTGCCTTGCCAGTTCGTGCTGGTCGCACTAGTCGCCGTGTTCCTCGTAAGTGTCCTCCCCCTGTCCCCGGCACGCACACTATGGCACTTTGTCCTTCCTCTGTTCCACAGCGTGTTCCCCTGCCGTCTCCTCCTACGTCCTCTCTTCTACACATTTCGGACCCTGAGCCTGACCTGGTTCGTGCAGCCAGTCCTACTGTTACGCGTCTCTTAGCCACTACTATCACTGACCCTTCGTTTGAGTT